TGTTGATTCTACCTACAACCCTGCATGCATTTGGGATAGTTTCAGAGCTACTCATTTCATCATTCAATCTGTGTTCTTGTCAATTTCACGCCTTTCCGTTTCAACGTAAGTGATGTGATGGATTGACTCTTCATGCAACTCTCGATTGTCACGAGGTTTGGGCTTGCCATATGGTCTTCACACGTTTCAAACAAATAACAGTGTTGCACGTTCAGGTTGTCTTCACGTGGTGGAGCATGATTTTAAGGATTAGGCTCTCTGTTAAAAGATACCATACTGACAGCTGGACATTTCAACTTGTCCGACTGGAGATTGGTGTAAGGAGACATATTTGTATGTGAGGTTGAAATGAACCTTCAATAATATTAAGCAGGTTGCTGCCCATAACACACTGTCGCCCAGGAGGAAGTAGGTGAGCAGTCAAGCGAGGAAAGTCCTATTGATTTGAGAGAAAATCAGCCTAGCTATTAAAACGAACTCAAATGTCCGCACCCGTGATAGCTCAGTTGGTAGAGCGGAGGACTGTAGTGGCAAGGCTGAAATTGGCAATCCTTAGGTCGCTGGTTCAAATCCGGCTCGCGGGACTACTTTTTGTATCAATCACCAATTTATGAAGAACGAACATCGTTTCATTTGCATCTTTGTACCATTAATCACATTTTTACGTACCAGTCTTCCAAAATGATACCAGGACTCGCACATGTCTGCTATTATCCAAATGAAGGCAATATGCTTTAGGAAAGGCCATGTTTGAAGGGAGAAAAAAAAGTGTGTCAGAAGTGGGATTTGAACCCACGCCCACATTCGTGGACCAGAACACCCGTATCTCCACTATGGGAGAAGGTCTGATGCAATACCTTGAGTCTGGCGTGTTTTTTTTGTTTTGTTTTTTCTTGATAAAATTTATTCACTTGAACGTATTACAGACGCAGACAGTGCTGACACTGCCACCACAAAAATAAAAAGGTTATCACAGAAGTAGGGTGGCAGTGGATAACATTCCGATTCTACAGACAGAAAATATGAGAAATAGTTTTTTACATTTGATTATATCTAAACACGTCTTTACATATACAAAAAGAGGAATGCAGATTGAACATGCTCTTTACACGTTACATGTTTCTATTCTAGAGGAGGTTTGAGAACAATCTCATTTCCATCTAATGTGATAAATGTATTGGTCATTATATATCTTTGAATAAAGATATGTAATTGATTCATTTTTGAATAGTGAAACAACAAAAAGCTGAAATGACGCTTAATCAAAGATTTGAAAAAAGCTTTCATGTGAAATGAGATTGTTTCCTGACTCATAATAACTCTTCTTTTAAATACAGCAATTCGATATATTGACAATACAATGTTCATGAAGGGTTTACATGACAACTTCTTTTCTGGCAGGAATCCAAGAGGTATAATTGTCCAAGACTAAACCCTGAATCTTGACAAACATCTGTCAACATGTCAATTAATAGAGATTGCAAGGAAGATAACTCTTGGCAGAAGATAAACAAATGTAAAATGTCCTCTGTTTCATTTTGACACACAGGACAAACATCAGTGTTTGACAATCCAATTTTGCACAGTTTATCATATGTAAAGATAATATTGTGAGCAATTTTAAAATCCAACTGTATAGAGTCTGTTGATTTATCTTTCTGCCACACATTCAGCCAAATATCTTTCCAATTAATGTCCAAAGCAATATTATTCCAAAAAGAAATAGCAACTGGCTTATTGAAGTGTTTTTGTCTGAATATTTCGTAGCAAAATTTAGCTGTTAAAACTTCAACTGACATGTCCTGTCCATCAATCGTGCAGAAGATGTCTCCCGAGGGAAGGTTTTTGCCAACATCAGACAAAATGATATTTTTCCATTCTGATGGAAGCGCGTATAAAATGATTGCATAGCATTGTTGTATAGTGTTTATGTCCATTTCAGGTAAAGTATCATGTACAATGTCTACAATAATTTGTGAGGACATGAATTTTGGAATTACTTCAAAACAAATATGTTTAATACAAATAATTCCACTTGAAATAAACGATTGAAACATTAATGTTTTTCCATTGAAAGTAATTAATGGATTTTTGAAAAGTGGTTGATTCATGATATCATCTACATTTTGAAGCAAGGGTCTTTTCCCTCCAGTAATTCCATTCCATGCAGATAATAGCTCAGCATAAAATGGGCTTATGTCTTGTAAATCACCCTTATTATGTTCAAGAGATAAAACATGAATTCCCAAGTTCATTTTCAGAAGATGTGACATAAAATATAGCATTGTTTGTTTCCAAATACAATTAAGCTGGGAATTAGAAAAAGCCCTCAGCAACTTAAGTCTCAGTGCATATTTTTTAAAACACAACTTTGGTATATTCAGACCACCATCTAAACAAATACCAATACAGGTATCTGATGTTATTTGGGCAGTTTTATTGTGCCACAAGAATTTACTCAACATCTGAGTAAATCTATGCTCAACCCATTGTGGGACAGGTAGTACAGTAAACGCATACCATAAGCGGGAACTCATAAGGATATTTATTACAACTGCTCTACCCTGTAGAGTAAGTTGTCTACGTAACCATGAATTTAACAATGTTTGAATTTTGTCCATTTTCTTTCTCCAATTCAACGTTTCACACATTGCTTTATCCTTGCCGAAATAAATGCCTAATATTTCAACACAATCTTTTTTTATTTTAACCGGGACGTTGATTGAACAGCCACGAAGGTTATTTTTACCCAATAACAAAACTTCTGATTTTTCGATGTTGATTTTTGCTCCCGTTCCTTCACAGTATGAGTTAACTGTGCTAAATGTTTCTTCGACGGAGTTGACATCTGAAACAGTGATTGAAGTGTCATCAGCATGTTGATATATCAAAGAATAAATGTCATTGTTGATACTTATTCCGCGGATTTCAGGATTGTTCTTAACTAGGAGATTAAGTGGCTCTGACACCAAAACGTACAGCATGGAGCTCATTGGATCTCCTTGACGAACACCACGAGTTAAAGGAAAATAAGGCGTCAAATGGCCTTTGCATTTAACAGAACTATGCATATCAGTATAGAGAATTTTAATCCATGAAATGAAGGAATCTCCAAAGTTAAATCTTCTGAGAATTTGAAATAAGTATTGATGTGAGACCCTGTCAAAAGCTTTCTCTTGATCTATTTTGATGAGATATGAATCATCATCATCACGATTATTTACAATGTCAATAACATCTCTTAGGGAGTGAAGGTTGTTAGCTATGTCTCTTCCTGGTACACAGCAAGATTGCTCAGGGGAGACAATTGAGGACATGACAGTTCGTAATCTTAATGACAACACTCTGGATATTAGTTTACAATCTACATTTATCAATGAAATAGGCCTGTAACATTTAATGTCTCTCTTGTCACCTTTCTTTTTATAAAATAAACTAATTATACTCTTTTTCATGGTACGTGAAAGACTGTTTTCTTTGTGTACACAATCGACAACTTGTATGAAGAAGTGGCATAAAATGTTCCAAAACTTCAAATAAAACTCAACTGTTAGACCATCTGGGCCTGGTGATTTATTTTTCTGCATACCTTTGAGTGCCACGGTAAGCTCACTCTGAGAAATATGTACTTCGCATGAATTCCTCTCATCTTCGGAAAGCTTGTCCTTGATATTATTAACAATGTCCTGTTGTTTTTCTACATTACAGTGTTCAGCAGTGAATAAAGAGGAGTAAAATTGTTGAGCAGTATCCAAGATATCCTCTGTGTTGTTGGCTATTGTACCATCTCCTCTAAATAATTCTTTCATCGAGTTTGCTTGCTGTTTTGTTTTTTCTAGATTTAAAAAGTATGAGGTATTTCTGTCGGAATCGAGAGTCCACTGTGCCTTTGACCTGAGAATAGCTCCTTTGCATTTGTTAATCTCGTATGTCTCCAGCTCATTTTCTATTGATTGTAAAACAGAAGATACATAGCCAGGAATGGAGGATATCTTATGATATTCTTTTCTAAGCTTATTTTGAATGTTAAAATAATCAGCTTTTTCATGATTGCTTTTTTTAGATGCATAATACCTGGAAAACTTTTTGAACTGATATTTCAAGTTATCCGACCATATCAATGGTTCAGTTTTAAGTAAAGGGCACCCTTTTGCCTCTTCTATTATTTCAGTGATCTTTTGATAAAATGCGCAATCGTCAAGAAGCTGATTATTAAAAATCCATACACCAGGACCGCCTTCTATAGGAGAAAAGTCTAACCTTGATACAACAATATTGTGATCACTCACAGAGGAATATCTAATGTAACAGTTGATAATATTTGAAATAAGGTTTCTTGAAACAAATATCAAATCAATCCGAGATTGTTTAATAACTCCTAATACAGACTGTATTCGAGAAAACTCTTTTTTGTCATAGTTCTTGTACCGCCATATATCAATTAGGTTGTTTTTGTGAAGAAAGGTGTTTAACACATTGCTACTTTGGATGTTAAACGTTGTGTTATTGGGACCTTTATCAAGTGAAGGATCAAGAATTTCATTAAAATCTCCAGCGCAAATTAAATGCTCATGATTAACCCATTTCATTAAATTATTGAAAAATAGTATTCTCTCTCTAGGATCGTTTGGGGCATACACATTTAATAAAATCACTGTTTTATCTTCAAGAGATAGAGACGCCTTTAGTAGTCTTCCATCAATGTCTTTTTCAAGCATGGCCACCTTTTCTTCAAAGTCAGGAGATATCAAAAGAGCAACTCCTTTTCTAGCATTACCACCATTAGAGTATAAAATTGTTCCTGGCCATAAATATTTATATTTTTCAATGAATTCATCAGACCAAAAGGTCTCCTGCAAAAAGGCAATATTGACATGGGAGTTCGTTAGTAGAGAGAATACATTTTTTTTATGACATCACGGAGTCCATTCACATTCCATGACCATGTTGTGACCATTGCAAATATAAGTATGACATGTATGTACAAACACATTATTAGTTTATACACCATTCTCAGACACGCCAGATATTTCTCGTCGATCATTAACCTTTTCTTCTTTCTTCTTCTTTTGGTCATCTTTTTTACTTTCTCTCAATTTATTTTTTAAATCATTGTTCTTAAGTACACAGTCTGTGATCTTGGGTTGTAGTTTATTTCTTCTTCCTCTTTTCTTCGAAGATTTGTTCCATTTAGAAGGTGTTATATTTTCATGTCCATCTTGAGGAAACGACTGTCTTATTGTCTTATCCTCACTCTCCATGTAATCTCCAACACTGTTATTTGTACAGGGAATTTCAGAGGCTTCATCAAGTTTTTCCTCTTCATTTTCTTCTCCTTTTTCCTCTATTGGTCCATCTTTGTTCTTTTTCTTTTCTTGAGGTTCAAAGTTCTCAACAGATGAATCATCATTATCTTCATCCCATGACCTTTCAGAGGCTAGTTCCTTTTCTAGCTCCGACTCCTCTGACATGCTGTACTGACCGTTGTCTTCCTCGTCTAGAACACAGCTGCAGCTACCAATAGGTAGAGAGCACAGTTCACAACTACGTTTAAGTGTTCTTTCTCTGTTGCAGTTTTTGGCAATGTGGCCATGTCCGTTGCACTTAAAGCATTTGGTATTTGGGCATTCTTTAACCATATGGTCGACCGAGTTGCATTTAAAACACAATCGTTCTTGATTATTATGAATCACACGAAAGTATCGATATCCATCTAATGTGATGAAACCCATGGAGTATGGCAAGGATTTACACTCGGGGGGGAAAGCGACGCGCACATACCTTGTACCATCAAAAATGTTGGTGCCTTTCAGGGTCCTGTGTTTAATATCACTTTTCAAAGTGATACCCCTTTTGATCAGCATGTTTACAATTTCCTCATCATCAATGTAGGGTGGAAGGTGTAGGAATGATACTACGACGCTTTCACAATGAAGTAACCTGAAGTTAATCGGTGTACCTCCTATTTTCAAGTCATCAGTTTCTGCAAGAATCCTTGCCTCGTTACTGTCTGGGACAGTGACATCATAGCATTCTGTTCCTTTTAGGACGCACGCCCATACATCGGACACATATTCCAATAGCGCACAAGATAATATACTAGCACTAATCACTTCGTTGTTACCAACATTCACTTCAATCGTGCAATCTTTCAGATATTTTCCCGGCATTTTGAACCCAGCGAGCGTGGGAGATTCAAAGACAACCAAAGTCAATAGCATCCACAAACGTGCATGCAAATGTATAAGGTCTTCACACAACTACATATCAAAGTGTTGCCTACCTTGTTAGCGTAAATCTGGTATTCTACGGAACTTGTGAACGATTTAATCTGAGAATCTGTGTTGCTCGATAGTCAGCACGTCCACACACCTCCGAAGCAAGGGAGGTAACCTCTGGCGTGTTAGACCGCTCGGCCATCCTGACAACGATGTTGAAAGTGATAACTCTACGCTTTTGTAGAGACAAACCATGGACAAACATGTTGCCGTTTTTCAGTCATGTTGATTCTACCTACAACCCTGCATGCATTTGGGATAGTTTCAGAGCTACTCATTTCATCATTCAATCTGTGTTCTTGTCAATTTCACGCCTTTCCGTTTCAACGTAAGTGATGTGATGGATTGACTTTTCATGCAACTCTCGATTGTCACGAGGTTTGGGCTTGCCATATGGTCTTCACACGTTTCAAACAAATAACAGTGTTGCACGTTCAGGTTGTCTTCACGTGGTGGAGCATGATTTTAAGGATTAGGCTCTCTGTTAAAAGATACCATACTGACCGCTGGATATTTCAACTTGTCCGACTGGAGATTGGTGTAAGGAGACATATTTGTATGTGAGATTAAAATGAACCTTCAATAATATTAAGCAGGTTGCTGCCCATAACACACTGTCGCCCAGGAGGAAGTAGGTGAGCAGTCAAGCGAGGAAAGTCCTATTGATTTGAGAGAAAATCAGCCTAGCTATTAAAACGAACTCAAATGTCAGCACCCGTGATAGCTCAGTTGGTAGAGCGGAGGACTGTAGTGGCAAGGCTGTAATTGGCAATCCTTAGGTCGCTGGTTCAAATCCGGCTCGCGGGACAACTTTTTGTATCAATCACCAATTTATGAAGAACGAACATCGTTTCATTTGCATGTTTGTACCATTAATCACATTTTTACGTACCAGTCTTCCAAAATGATACCAGGACTCGCACATGTCTGCTATTATCCAAATGAAGGCAATATGCTTTAGGAAAAGCCATGTTTGAAGGGAGAAAAAAAAGTGTGTCAGAAGTGGGATTTGAACCAACGCCCACATTCGTGGACCAGAACACCCGTATCTCCACTATGGGAGAAGGTCTGATGCAATACCTTGAGTCTGGCGCCTTAGACCGCTCGGCCATCCTGACAACGATGTTGAAAGTGATAACTCTACGCTTTTGTAGAGACAAACCATGGACAAACATGTTGCCGTTTTTCAGTCATGTTGATTCTACCTACAACCCTGCATGCATTTGGGATAGTTTCAGAGCTACTCATTTCATCATTCAATCTGTGTTCTTGTCAATTTCACGCCTTTCCGTTTCAACGTAAGTGATGTGATGGATTGACTCTTCATGAAACTCTCGATTGTCACGAGGTTTGGGCTTGCCATATGGTCTTCACACGTTTCAAACAAATAACAGTGTTGCACGTTCAGGTTGTCTTCACCTGGTGGAGCATGATTTTAAGGATTAGGCTCTCTGTTAAAAGATACCATACTGACCGCTGGATATTTCAACTTGTCCGACTGGAGATTGGTGTAAGGAGACATATTTGTATGTGAGATTGAAATGAACCTTCAATAATATTAAGCAGGTTGCTGCCCATAACACACTGTCGCCCAGGAGGAAGTAGGTGAGCAGTCAAGCGAGGAAAGTCCTATTGATTTGAGAGAAAATCAGCCTAGCTATTAAAACGAACTCAAATGTCAGCACCCGTGATAGCTCAGTTGGTAGAGCGGAGGACTGTAGTGGCAATGCTGAAATTGGCAATCCTTAGGTCGCTGGTTCAAATCCGGCTCGCGGGACAACTTTTTGTATCAATCACCAATTTATGAAGAACGAACATTGTTTCATTTGCATGTTTGTACCATTAATCACATTTTTACGTACCAGTCTTCCAAAATGATACCAGGACTCGCACATGTCTGCTATTATCCAAATGAAGGCAATATGCTTTAGGAAAGGCCATGTTTGAAGGGAGAAAAAAAAGTGTGTCAGAAGTGGGATTTGAACCCACGCCCACATTCGTGGACCAGAACACCCGTATCTCCACTATGGGAGAAGGTCTGATGCAATACCTTGAGTCTGGCGCCTTAGACCGCTCGGCCATCCTGACAACGATGTTGAAAGTGATAACTCTACGCTTTTGTAGAGACAAACCATGGACAAACATGTTGCCGTTTTTCAGTCATGTTGATTCTACCTACAACCCTGCATGCATTTGGGATAGTTTCAGAGCTACTCATTTCATCATTCAATCTGTGTTCTTGTCAATTTCACGCCTTTCCGTTTCAACGTAAGTGATGTGATGGATTGACTCTTCATGAAACTCTCGATTGTCACGAGGTTTGGGCTTGCCATATGGTCTTCACACGTTTCAAACAAATAACAGTGTTGCACGTTCAGGTTGTCTTCACGTGGTGGAGCATGATTTTAAGGATTAGGCTCTCTGTTAAAAGATACCATACTGACCGCTGGATATTTCAACTTGTCCGACTGGAGATTGGTGTAAGGAGACATATTTGTATGTGAGATTGAAATGAACCTTCAATAATATTAAGCAGGTTGCTGCCCATAACACACTGTCGCCCAGGAGGAAGTAGGTGAGCAGTCAAGCGAGGAAAGTCCTATTGATTTGAGAGAAAATCAGCCTAGCTATTAAAACGAACTCAAATGTCAGCACCCGTGATAGCTCAGTTGGTAGAGCGGAGGACTGTAGTGGCAAGGCTGAAATTGGCAATCCTTAGGTCGCTGGTTCAAATCCGGCTCGCGGGACAACTTTTTGTATCAATCACCAATTTATGAAGAACGAACATTGTTTCATTTGCATGTTTGTACCATTAATCACATTTTTACGTACCAGTCTTCCAAAATGATACCAGGACTCGCACATGTCTGCTTTTATCCAAATGAAGGCAATATGCTTTAGGAAAGGCCATGTTTGAAGGGAGAAAAAAAAGTGTGTCAGAAGTGGGATTTGAACCCACGCCCACATTCGTGGACCAGAACACCCGTATCTCCACTATGGGAGAAGGTCTGATGCAATACCTTGAGTCTGGCGCCTTAGACCGCTCGGCCATCCTGACAACGATGTTGAAAGTGATAACTCTACGCTTTTGTAGAGACAAACCATGGACAAACATGTTGCCGTTTTTCAGTCATGTTGATTCTACCTACAACCCTGCATGCATTTGGGATAGTTTCAGAGCTACTCATTTCATCATTCAATCTGTGTTCTTGTCAATTTCACGCCTTTCCGTTTCAACGTAAGTGATGTGATGGATTGACTCTTCATGCAACTCTCGATTGTCACGAGGTTTGGGCTTGCCATATGGTCTTCACACGTTTCAAACAAATAACAGTGTTGCACGTTCAGGTTGTCTTCACGTGGTGGAGCATGATTTTAAGGATTAGGCTCTCTGTTAAAAGATACCATACTGACCGCTGGACATTTCAACTTGTCCGACTGGAGATTGGTGTAAGGAGACATATTTGTATGTGAGATTGAAATGAACCTTCAATAATATTAAGCAGGTTGCTGCCCATAACACACTGTCGCCCAGGAGGAAGTAGGTGAGCAGTCAAGCGAGGAAAGTCCTATTGATTTGAGAGAAAATCAGCCTAGCTATTAAAACGAACTCAAATGTCAGCACCCGTGATAGCTCAGTTGGTAGAGCGGAGGACTGTAGTGGCAAGGCTGAAATTGGCAATCCTTAGGTCGCTGGTTCAAATCCGGCTCGCGGGACAACTTTTTGTATCAATCACCAATTTATGAAGAACGAACATCGTTTCATTTGCATCTTTGTACCATTAATCACATTTTTACGTACCAGTCTTCCAAAATGATACCAGGACTCGCACATGTCTGCTATTATCCAAATGAAGGCAATATGCTTTAGGAAAGGCCATGTTTGAAGGGAGAAAAAAAGTGTGTCAGAAGTGGGATTTGAACCCACGCCCACATTCGTGGACCAGAACACCCGTATCTCCACTATGGGAGAAGGTCTGATGCAATACCTTGAGTCTGGCGCCTTAGACCGCTCGGCCATCCTGACAACGATGTTGAAAGTGATAACTCTACGCTTTTGTAGAGACAAACCATGGACAAACATGTTGCCGTTTTTCAGTCATGTTGATTCTACCTACAACCCTGCATGCATTTGGGATAGTTTCAGAGCTACTCATTTCATCATTCAATCTGTGTTCTTGTCAATTTCACGCCTTTCCGTTTCAACGTAAGTGATGTGATGGATTGACTCTTCATGCAACTCTCGATTGTCACGAGGTTTGGGCTTGCCATATGGTCTTCACACGTTTCAAACAAATAACAGTGTTGCACGTTCAGGTTGTCTTCACGTGGTGGAGCATGATTTTAAGGATTACGCTCTC